CCAAAACTGATTCATATCACGCAACTTGGTAAGATAATTCTCAAAGTTTTCTTGTACAAGTTAAAAAACCACTACTCGGAGTTACGCACAAGAGACCAAGTGGAAGTGGTCTAAGCCAAGATACAGAACCAACTTGTCAATTGGGCAATCTTCCTACATATGTACAAAGGCTCAAGGGATTTTAGACATTTCAGGGAGGGAATTAAGTGGAGCTCCATGTTAAAAAGATGTAATGCTGGAGCTGTAAGGGAAATGTATGGATTACAATCACTCATAAGCCCATACTAGTGAAGTATGTGAAACCCAATGTAAGTCCATGCTGAAAGTACCACAAAGTCCAGGGATGTGAAATCATGTACGTTTTTGTTTTCTCTTTCTTTCTCATGATATGTTGCATGGTTATATCAAGCAACTCCTGCTTTGCGTAGTTACTTGTTATGACATAAAAAGTAAGTTCGATATATGCACATAACTTATTAATGATAGTCCAGCATCGAGCTAAAAAAATGTTCAGTCTACAATGCTTAAGCATTGTAGAATGTCACAACTGTCCATTGCTATTACCAGTTATGGAAAAGAATGTTACTCATGATAGCCATCACATTCTCCCCACTGAACAGTCCATTCTTTCTCGTAAGCAGTTAACCAGCATACTTCAGAATTTTGTTCTTGCAAAAACTTCCCCAATTGATTACAAAAACTTCCCCAAAACACATAATTTCATTCCAACACAAAGGTTAAAAGTACATAGTGTTACATCACATAATTTCTTTCATGGCCAAACAAAAAGACAACAAAAAAGCTATAACAGTTAGCCATTTCCACAACACCTTTTCACGTACAACAACCAAGTCACGCGCCACTGGTGGGGTCGGGTCGAGTGGTATTTGTTCAACTGATGAAATCTTGCACCATCCCAAAAACGAGCCGCACTTTTGCCTTTTACACAAGTAGTAAATTCTACCACGGTTATTGTTCTTGTTCGACTTCGTTATCTTCACATCCGCTATTTCACCACACTCGCATTGTTTCAATATGAATCTAATATCCACTTCAACACATGAGTTACTTTCCACAGTTGATGATGAAGCCATTTCAATCTGCCAAATTTGAACAATTTAACATGAACATGTGCTGGAAAGACACATAGGCTAAATTTATAATTCAAGTTGTTCTGTTAGCTACTTGTAAATGTCTTTAGTACATCTCTGGACAATTATACTCGTTAGAGTGTAAAATCAAACATTATTCTCTGAACAAATGATTCTGATCTAAGCAAGTTCTATTTTTCTGTCAATGTATTAACCATGCTATTTGTTACATGTCATGTTATCAAATTAATAATTCATATCAAATCTGAAGTTACATGTCATGTTATCAAATTAATAATTCATGTTATCAAATTAATTTCAATAACAGATCCTAATTGCAGCAAAAACCAAAAAATTCCTAAAAATCCATGTTATGACTTCCACGTTATAACTTCCAAATGCCAAGCAGTTGTTGTTGTCCAAAATACTGGTCTGCCAAAAATGGCAAAGGGGTAATACAGATATCAGCAGACCTTGACATAATACAGATAACAGATCCTAATCGCAGAGATTATATTTTTGGGTATTGAGAAAAATTCCTAAATCAATAACAGATCCTAATTGCAGCAAAAACCGAAAAATTCCTAAAAATTTTGTTTTGACTGGCTCATACCGAGATAGTCTAAAATCCAATCGAACTGAAATTATTTAAAATCGAATTGAGCTTTTAGAAAATTTTATAGCTGAACAGGAACGAGAGGTCGAATGTCATTTATACTAAATTGGTAATGCTATACAATAACTGCAATCGTTTTAGGTAAAACATTCTCAAAATAAGTTGACCTAATCAATCCCTCATTCCACCAATTATAGGGACAATTCAGCCTAGGTGCCTAATTTGTATGAAGTTCCTTGGTATCAAATTAATTTCAAAAACCTAAAAATTCCTAAAAATTTTGTTTTGACTGGCTCATACTGAGATAGTCTAAAATCCAATCGAACTGAAATTATTTAAAATCGAATTGAGCTTTTAGAAAATTTTACAGCTGAACAGGAACGAGAGGTCGTCAGGTTGAGGGAGATTTGAAGCTACAGCGTCGGATTCTCGTTTTGGGGGCTTGAGGGAGATCGAGCAGTCCTGATCCCGTCGGCGGCGAGAGTTGTGTTCTTCGTCGGGTCGTCGGCGATAGTTGAGCACGAGAGGTCGTCGGGTCGTCGGCGACTAGGCTTTGTCGGGTCGGCTGCGGTCGGAGTGAGAGAGAGAATGGGATCAGCGAGACATCGTCGGCTCTTGGTCGGGTCAGCGGCGAGAGCAAGAGAGGTGTTACAGGTGTAGGGTTTTGAGATCGGCTTTTGGGGGGAGAGGCAGATCAGGATTTGGGGATTTTAATGAAGTGAGAGAAAGAGAGAATGAGATTTCTTTTTCATAAATGAGCGGAGGATGAGAAATAGCTGTAGCGGAGGGATTTTTGCAAAAACTTCCCTATCAACCCAAAATGCGTACGCACCATTCCGCACTTGAAATGCACTATATATATATATATATATATATATATATTGGTTTCTATGTATATGTAGTCATACATATACATATATGTTTCTATGTATATATA